GTTAGCTATCCAAGGTCTCCTGTGTTTCCATATGAACTTCAGCATAATTTTTTCTATATCTGAGAAGATTGTCTTTGATATTTTGATTGGTATTGCATTGAATCTGTAAATTGCTCTTGGTAGTAATGACATTTTGATGATATTGATTCTTCCAACCCGTGAACATGGAAGATTTTTCTGTTTCTTTGTATTTACTATTTCTTTCTTTAATGTTTTGTAATTCTCAACCTTGGTTAAATTTATTCCAAGGTATTTGATATTTTCTATAGCCTTTGTAGGTAGTATTGATCTTAGTAGTTCTTTTAAACCATGACATTGTCTGTGTATACAAAAGCTACTGTTTCTGTGTGCAGAATATCCATAAGCATCTTTTGTAAGGCTAGACAAGTGGTCACAAATTCTTTCAATTTCTGTTTGTTATGGAAGGTCTTTATTTCACCTTCTTTCATAAATGAGAACTTTGCAGGGCACAGTATTCTGCACTGACAGTTTTTTCTCTTAAGATTGGACTCTATCTCACCATTCTCTCCTAGCCTGTAGGGTTTCTGATGAGAAGCCCATTGTGAGTCTAATCGGAGATCCTCTGACAGTAACCTGGCATTTCTTTTTGCACATTTTAGAATCTTCTCTTTATGTTTTACTATGTTGAGTTTGATTACAATGTGTTCTGGTGGAGATCTTTTGTGGTTATATCTATTGGGAGATCTATGTTCTTCTTGGATATCTTTTTTTTCCAAATTAGGGAAGTTTTATGTTATTATTTCACACAAAGGCCTTCTAATCCTTACTCTCTTTCCATGCCTTCAGGAACTCCTAAGACCCATATGTTGCATCATTTGATAGTATCTCAAAATCTGGCACTCTTTTTTAATTTTCTAATTTTTTTTTTTTGGTCTCTCTTTAAAATTTCTAGCAAATTTTCTTTTAATTCAGCTGTTTTTCTTCTGCCTCATCACATCTGTTCTTAAGGCTTTCCACCATATTTTTAATTTTTTCTACTGAATTCTTCATTTTCTTTTTATTTTTTTCATTTTCAAATATCTTTATATACAGAAGATCAATTTAGCATATATTAAAAAAGCTTTCAACAGTTTGCACCCACATAGAAACACAAAGTGAACAATACTGTTTGAGTACTAGTTATAGCATTAAATCACAATGTACAGCACATTAAGGACAGAGATCCTACATGAGAAGTAAGTGCACAGTGACTCCTGTTGTTGACTTAACAAACTGACACTCTTGTTTATGGCATCAGTAATCACCCTAGGCTCTTGTCATGAGTTGCCAAGGCTATGGAGGCCTTTTGAGTTCGCCGACTCTGATCATATTTAGACAAGGTCATAGTCAAAGTGAAAGTTCTCTCCTCCCTTTAGAGAACAGTATCTCCTTCTTTGATGACCTGTTCTTTCTTTCTTTTCTTTTTTTTTTAAACTTTTATTTAATGAATATATATTTCCAAAGTACGACTTATGGATTACAATGGCTTCCCCCCCATACCGTCCTTCCCACCCACAACCCTCCCCTTTCCCACTCCCTCTCCCCTTCCATTCACATCAAGATTCATTTTCGATTATCTTAATATACAGAAGATCAGCTTAGTATACATTAAGTATGGATTTCAACAGTTTGCTCCCACACAGAAACATAAAGTGAAAAATAATAGATGATTTTTTTTAAATGATGATGAAATCAGAGTCTGCTCTGAATTCTTCATTTTCAATATTTCATTTTGATTTCTATTTTAAAAATCTCAATTTCATGAGAAAAATTTTCATTCATATCACATATGAATTACTTTTTAAAGAGTTATTTATTTATTGGAAGAGAGAGAGAGGTCATCCAGCTGCTGTTTAACTCCCCAGATGGCCACAGCGGCTGGAGCTGTGCTTATCTGAAGCCAAGAGCCAGGAGTTTCTTCCAGGTCTCCCACACAACTACAGGGGCCCAAGGACTTGGGCCATCTTCTACAGCTTTCCCAGGCCATTAGCAGAGAGCTGGATCAGAAATGGAGCAGCTGGGACTTGAACCAGTACCCATATGGGATGCCGACACTGCAGGTGGTGGCTTTACCCATTGCACCACAGTGCTGGTCCCACAAATTTCTTTAGTTCATGAATTTGATTCTGATTACTTCTAAGTAATCCCACAATCAACGTTTTTGAATTCTGCCTGGCATTTTGTCAATCTCTTCATCTTCACGTTCTAGTATTTACAAGTTATGTTCTTTTGGGGGCATCATGTGGCCTTATTCTTGTTTCTTGAATTGCTGTGTTTATTATTAGCCATTTGTGGAGATACTTGTTTGTTTGTTTTTTTTTTTCTTTTCCCTCTGATGGTTTTTATCCTTGGACTACACCTCTGTGGCTTAGTGGAGTGTCTGCTGTTTCTATGAATACCCAGAGGCATGTGCTGGGTATGATCAGGGAGCTCTGTTCAGTGCTTCAAGGTGAGGGGAGTATCCAAGGTAAAACACAAGTTGAGCATGGTAAATTTCTTTTTATTATCTTATTATTACTATTTTTTTTTAATCAGAGGGGAGATATGCTTTCTTCTGTTGGTGTATTCTCACAATCACCTCCTCTCCTCCAAGGAGACCAGTGCCTGGGCGCTAGCCCCAGTGGGGACAATATTTTTCCATGCTACCACAAGAACCATACAAAGAACTATCAGTCCTGGGTATGGGCACAAATCCCACAACAGTGACCTTCCCCAGGGAATCAAGGAGTCCTGAGCACGTAGAACCACCTACAGTGACTGCCCCAAATCCCAGCCACATCCTGCACCCTCCCAGACAGTCTCAGTGTTTTCACAGTCCCAGCACACAAGGCTCCCATGGTCAAAAGCATCAAGATCCTTGTCAATTCTCCCAGTCTCCTCCTTGCTGGTTGCTGGGCACCCAGACATGGGGTGGCACAACTGTTATGTATATCTAAAATGGCACCTACCCTCTCTTAGCTAGTTACAGGACGCCAGTGCTATGTGGTTGGGAAGAGAGACACATGCCCTCCCCCCATACACACCTGCTTTTTTTCCTTCTAGGTTGTCAGGTACACTGTCCCCCACAGGGCTCCAAGATGGACTCGTGCCACCAGGTTCTTGTGCAGCTTTATCACCAGTGGCTTGGGCTGCTGCAGTCTGGTCTCGCCTCACTCCAAAACTGGTGCTGACGCTCTTGGCTGCTGGGGTCCTGAGCTGTGCATGTCCAGTCCTCCACACAGCTGTATAGTGTTTCCTGTGGAGTTTTTCAAATGAAGAGATGGAAGACAGGAGCCTTCATCAGAAGAGTGTGCTGCTGGATAGCTCTTGGCCAGCACTTTTTATTAGAGGGTACACACAATTCTACAAGGTAGCAAGCACATAGGCACAGCAATACAGCAATGAAAGCCCTCCATACAAACAGGAAAAACCAAACCCTATGTTCCGAGGTGAGGGATAGAAGCTGATCCATACCATGCAGTATGATGATCTGAATCTTATTCATAATCTTGACTCCCGAAACTAGTATTCACTATTAGTTACAGATTACCCACCATACTGCCTTCTGCCACTGCATTCCATTGGGAGGTTGTACCCTCACCTAACCTGCGTAGGCAGAGACAGAACCGCAACCTTGTCCTATTCCATGGGAGTGTGCTCCCCTGAGAACATTTAGGCAATGCCCTCTACATTCCCCCAATTAGCATATAGTTTCCTCTTAGTTTCCTCCCTAACCCTTCCCTGAGATTGCAATCGCTCTATTTTTTTAAACTATCCTCTCCTAGACTAGAGCAGTAGGCTCCCTCCCTATTCCACCAGCTTGAAAAGCTATTTTTTTTTATTTTAAAAAGAAGGGAGCAGTGAACAAATGAGACAAACATAAAAGTAATAGGAAGATGTTCAACTTATAAATAAATGTCACTAATTACATTAAATAAGAATTTACTAAATGTTTGTGTTATAAAATAGAGGTAATGAAACTGGGTTTATATACAGTGTTCAATCCTGATTATGAAAGACACTTCTTAAAGTCAGAGAAAAAGGACAAAAACTGTCATGTAAAAAATTACTAAAAAGAAAGTTGGTGTTTGTATACCAATATCAACAAAGTAAGTTTTAGTTCAAGAATTTCTACTGGAGTCAGAAACATTTCAGAATGAAGATCTGAATAGGCAGCTACAGTAATTCTAAATTTTAATGCAGCCAGCAATATTGTCTCAAGGCATACAATAAAAAACTGATAGAATTAAAGAAGAATTAGACACATACACAACCATGGTTGGTACTTTTAATGCTTCATCAACTAACAGAAAAAAACACCATTCAAAATTTGAGGAACTGAATGTCAAGATTTGAAAACTTGAACTAGCAATATATACAGTACAATCAGAGGTAACATCCCATTATGTTTGGCATAGTCTATCATGGATCAAAAATTCCACAGATTCCACATTTCCTAAAGGGAGGGAGTCAGAGAAGGTCATGGCTCATTGGGGGTGATTTCTAAGGTGTTCCCCAACAGTCACACACACATTTATTTGGCAGCTGTTTATAGATTACAGATCATGTAGAGTTTTGGACTACTGACACAGCTGTAGTTGTCTGCTCTCACAGAGCACTTATTGTAGTGGAGCCAAAGACTCAAACATTCAGCAAACCATATGCATGTGCAATGACAGAGCCATCAGTGAGAAATGGGAAGGAGAGATGCCTAATCCATCCTAGTGGTGTGGTAAAGGCAGTTAAGAAGACTACAAGGGTGAAATCAAAGTTAAGCTGATTCTGGAAGGGAGATTTCTAACCGTCCAGGTGGTGAAAGTAGGGAAAGATGTCCCATGTAAAAGGCACAGCCTGAGCAAATTCCCCACATACGATGTGTGCAATGTTGCTGAAGGTCAAGAGCCAGGTGCTCTTCTTCAAGTCGGAGGCTTAACAAAGGCACAAAGAAAGGACTCAAAGCATTCCTCACCTCAGCTTACATTGTCAGCCCTCACCTTGCCCTTACTTTTTTGTCTTTTCAGCTTAGCCATGGGGTCCCCTGGGGACAGAGATTGTGTCATGTTCAACTTTCAGATGTTTTCTTCTCCCACCCTTTGGAGCAAAGATTTCTCTAGCACTCAGCCCTGTACGTGGAGAACGTTGGTGGACTGAATTCGTGAGTCGGCAAGGATCACTCTTTCCTGGGAGGAAATGTTTGCAGCCTGGGTCTCCTGGCCTTTTTCCAACCCGAGGACCACCTGCCTCCCTACCCTGACCTTGAACGTGATCCTGTGTGGCCTCTCACAGCTGCTGCACCCACCCCACCTCAGCTGCGGGTGCGTCACTGGGCGGATGAAGGGATCCCCGTGTACCATACGCACATGGCCTTGTTTGTGAGTGGTGCGGCCCCCAGGGAAAAACAGACCGGCCAGCCAGCCCTGCTCTTCGTGTTCCATGTTGTTGTGTTTTGTAGGAGGGCGGAGTGTGTGGTGAGGGGGAAGGGCTCGGGTGGAGAAGTCGTGTTTTGCAGGCCTAGGACTCCCTGCACTGCGGCTCAGCTCCCTGCGTTGTTCCCCAAGCAGCAGGGGAGGGGGCTGGGCTGGGCCTTGCAGCACAGCCAGGTCACTGAGCAACTGGGGGAACACCCCCTCTCTCTGCCAAGTGGGCAGTGTTCAAGCTGGGCCTGGCAGGAAAGCCTGCTGAGTCACTTGGGACTGAAGTCGGAAGCATGTGGGGAGGGTGTCGGGGATGGGTAAAACCCCAAGTCCTAAACAAAATAAATCTCTTGTCTACAGACCTTGAGCTACAAAGCGACACCCTGGAACAAAAGTGTTTGCATCCCTACACTCAGATATAACTTATGTGAATACCAAGTGGCAGTGTCCAGACTACTGTGAGATCCCAGTGAGGAGGATGGTGGCCAGATTCAGCAGGTCTGGACATGAAGGTCAGTTGTTTGGTCTAGGATATTTCTCATCTCTTTGCATTCTGTGCTCCTGCACATTTAAAATCCCACTCCCCTCATCCTTACCTCCAAAATAAGCCTTAGATCTGAGTCCTAGGATAGGTCCCTTATTTAACCAATTCTGGTTTTTAAGATGATCATTATTTGATTGTGTTATTAAAAAGAAAAACTGGAGCACAGATTCAAAGCTAAAAGAAAACTTCCTGAAAAAACAAAGATTTTAGAAGAATGCAAAAGAAACTAAATACGTCAACCAGGCTCCCACTTTGGGGAGAAGTGTGGAAGGACCACAGTGGTGAGTTCCAGGGCATGGCAGCCCCTTTCTGTCCCTCTCCCCCAGGTGTCCTGATCTAAGATAGCAGCGACAGGGACACTCCAAGGTTCTTAGCTGTCTAAAAGTTTAAGCTGTGAAAATGATCATGGCTGCTGGGCGTGATTCTGGTGTTGTGTCTTTAAAAGCCTCTCCCAGATTTCTCAACCTGCTGAGTCAGTGGAGGAAATCTGGCCAGTCTCCACTCTGATCCCAGAAGGGAAGCTTCCAAGTTAAAGGGTGGGAGCTTTGAATGGGTTGAGCAAAGCAGAAGAGACACAGGGAGTAGGTGTCTGAAGACTTGGAAGGACAGTGAACGCTGAGTGAGGCTCAGATATCTGGGATCTGTTCCATGACTTGTCTCATTATCTCTGGGGATTTGCTCCTCTTGAGGCTTGATTTAATGATGTTGTGAGACAGTCCAACACTGAAGGTCCATGTTGCAGAGAGGTCTGCAGAAGCCACAAACTAGATCGCCTGAGGTTTTACTCCTAGCAGGGCATACTGCCTCCAAAAGACAGATGGACACTGGCAGTCACAGTGTGGAGTAGAGAGAGAAGATGGAAGCAGCTGCTGCAAATGACTGATTAATCTTCTGCTTGTACTTTGGACCCCCAAGGATTGGTAGAAATGGGTTTCCTGTCTTATCCCTAACACCATTCCAGAGTGTCAAACAGTCTAGCCTTGGGTGAGTCCAGAGTTGCTTGGAGGTACCAAGTTACATGCTGGACTTCTGAAACTCACCACACAGGATTATTTACCTTCAGACATTTAAAATGGCATTCTGGAAGTAAACCTTCTGCACTTGGAAATCCACCACTTCAAAAAGCATGATTTTGCTGTTAAGAGCATTAGCTCCAAATAGTACAGCCTTGAGTTCAAGTTCCAGGCATACTTCCATATGCCTGCAGAGCTGCTGGATTCAAGTGTGCAAGGTGTTCACTGTCTAAGGATGTCAGGCTTAGGAGTAGCTGGGCTCTGAAATCCAGTTTCCATTCTACTATGTAAGCTAGTACTTGGCACAAGAGCTTCTTCCATTTGGAAGAAGTGGGAAGTGGTTCATTTTCATTATCACAGAGACATCAAACACATGCTAAGCCAAAAGTCCTAGGATTACACCCACCTGCAGGGGCCTTTTCTTATTCTATTCAAGGTGATAAACCAACATATCACATAGTGGTTAGTTATGAACAACAGAAATATTTTTCTCTTTGTTCTGGAAACTGAGCAGTACAAGATCAAGTTACTGGTAGATTCTGTGACTGGTGAAGGCCAGTGTCTTGGTTCATAAACAGTACCTTTTACCTGGGGAGAGAAGCTATCTGGCTCTCTGGTATCTCTTTTATAATGACATTAGTTCTATTCACAAGGGCTATTGACCCCACCTCCTAGAGCCATCATATTGATGATTGGTGGTGGTGGTGGTGAGGATATAAAGGTTTAGATCATATAATTCTATACCCTCCCTCCCTGATTTTTGCTCCTCTTGCATGCAAAGTACTTCTACCCCATTCCAATAGCCCTGAACATTTTAGCTCATTCTCATATCAACTATAAATTCTAGGTCCAAAATCTCATTTAGTTATCATCTGAATAAGATATGGGTAAGATTCAAAGTATGATTCATCCCAAGGCCTTTTGTCCTCCAGCTGTAAAACTGTGGGATCCAACAAGTTATGTGCTTCCACAATATCACTGTGGAGAAAGATACCAGCTGGACATTCGCATGTAAAAAAGGAGAAAGAAGAAAGGATAATAGGTCCCAAGTCAGTCTGAACTTTAATTGGGAAGATAAAATCAAATCTTAAGCAAGCCTCAAAATAATCTTTGAGAGTAAGCATTTAGCCTAGTAGTTAAGACACACACCACACACATAGAAGTATTTGGGTTCAATTCCCAGCTCTGGCTCCTGGTTCTAGCTCCCTGCCTATGCAGACCCAGTGATGTAGCTGTGATGATGGCTCAAGTACATGGGTTCCTGCCACCCATGTAGGAGACTCAGATTGAGTTCCTGGATCTTGGCCCAGCCCTGACTATTATCTATTGTGGGTATTTGGAGAGTGAACCCTGTAACTCTGCCTCTCAAATGAAAAAGATGAGGTGGGGGGGAGGAGAGAATAAACTTTCTGGAACTTGATGTAATACCTTGTAGATATAGTGAGTCAGGAGCTGGATTTCCAAGATTTGGGGCAGTTCCACCCCTATGGCTTTGCTGGGCATAGCCCACTTCACAGCTCTCACTGGTTGGAATCATACTGTGGTTCTTCTAGGCTAGACTGACATGAAGGTGGCTTCCGTGAACTGGATCATTGGGTATTTTGGGGCCCAGTTCTTGGATTATGCCCAGGGCTCCAGATGGCTCCATCATTTGAAACTTTGGTGGGCGTATTTAGTCCCCCACAGCATTTTGAACTGGCAGAGGTGCAGTATCTAGGCACTGGTAAGGTTTACTGTGGGCAACACAGCATGTGTCATTCAAGGACCCACACCTGGGGTGCCCAGGGATTGCTATCTCAGAACGTGGAGAGTGGAGCTCTGAAATAGTTTTGCCCCAAGTCACTTTCTGTCTGTAATGGGAATGACACCCCTAAAAACCTCTGAGATGCTTTGGGATCATTCTTACATTGTCCTTAAAAATACATTCTGGCTTCTGTTTAGAATGTGCATCCGAATTAATCTCCTTATCTTTGAGTCAACTGACCATGCTCTTGTTCTTTCCTGTACAGGAATTCTATTTTTTTTCCAATACAGATAGGCTAAGAGTTCAAAATTTTGTCTTCAAATTGTATCTCTCTTCTTGGATTTTACTACAAGAATTCAAGAAAAGCCAAGTTGTACCTCCAACAGTTTGCTTAGAAAATTTTTCAGCCAACAAATTCATTCCATCACTTGTTAAATTCTACCTTTCATCAAACACTAGGACATGGAGACAATTCAGTCAAGCTCTGCTGAGCCACAACACTGGCCCCTGTTGTGTTCAGTAAAGTCTAACCAAGTAGCAGAAACTCTGGGTTGGATGGATTGATAAGTTTGGATCTATTAAATCAGATGTCAGGAAACTTCACACTAGAGGTGAAATTTAAATTGGGCATCCTTATGAAGGTACTTAGCAAGGAAGATGCATAAATTAAAACAATAGGAGATAAAACTGTTTCTTTGTCTGCTTTAATTCATTAACTAAGTATTTGGGAAAAATCAAAGGGACTAAAATAATTTTGAACAATGGGGGGGAACTTGTTTCGAAGTGGTGGTAGTTTTGGACACTGTTTTGTAGGCATCCACAGCGGATAAGAGAAACCTTGATAACTGCTCCCCAAGTAACTCACCTGACTTATTGGAGAGGTGCTTGCAGAGGCAAGGCTGCAGTACAGAGTCCATTACTTCTGTTATGCTGCTGACTGGGAAGAAACAAGGACAGAAGTGAGTGAGTCTGTCATTATCAGTGATTTCCCTTCAGAACATTCTGTCAATAAACCTGCCTGCTAGTAAAGGCCCGGAAGACAGAGAGGCACCTGCTTGTCTCCATCTATTCTGAAAGGCGAGACCCAAATAAATGCAGTTTTCACATATTTTAAAGAGAGAAAAACCCAGAAACTTTTCAAATCATAAGATACTAACATGAAAATTTTTACTTTGTCATTTTTCTACTTTGCAGACTGAATTTTGAATCTATTTCTGGCTTTGCATATAACTGCCTTTGTGGCCTTAAGAAAATCAGGCAATCCCTCTGAGTCTTTTATTTGTTGTTGAAATGATGGAACTCCCAACCTTCCTAAAGCAGATATTTTCTCCTTTTTATTCTGTGAAACCACTATTTAAATTTCTCTTCAAGAATTTGTCAAAAGTTGTAAATATTTTATGTATTTACTATTCTTATTTTTGAAACTCTGCCTCACCAGTTGAAAATTATTGTATTGTAGACTCTTACTACTTATATTGGATATTCAATGATACATGTATTTGTTTAATACATAAATGATACATATTAATTAAATAGAAGTATTTTCTTTAAAAGTGAAATTTTCGTGTAAGTTTAAGTCACCATTAAAATTTTTATTTGTCACTTAGCAATTCTTTTCAATCTTGTTTCATCCAGCTAGCTCACTATTGGGTTAAAGATAAAATCAAGGGGCCGGTGTTGTGTCATAGCAGGATAAACACCACCTACAGGGCTGGCATCTCATGTGGGCACTTGTTTGAGTCCCAGCTGCTCCACTTCTGATCCAACTCCCTGCTAATGCACCTGGGAAAGCAGTGGAAAATGGCCCAAGTTCTTGGGCGTGTGCACCCATGTGGGAGACCCAGAAGAAGCTTCTGGCTTCTTGCTTCAGCCTAGCCCAGCTCCAGCCATTATGGTCATTTGGGAAGTTAACCAGTGGATGAAAGGTATCTCCTTTTTCTCTTGATTACTTTCTCTCTGTAATTCTGCCTTTCAAATGAAAAATAAATGAATCTTTAAAAAAAGATAAAATCAGGAGTAACATGTTCTGCATTGCCCATATCACAATCAACATAGACTGGAATATTGGACCATTTTAATCCAAGATTATTTGTGTGATTGAAGGGCTATCACTCCTGTCCTTAGGTGCCTTTCTCTACTGGTAACCAAAGAACCCTAATTCTATCCTGAGATACTAACTTATTTGGTTAAAGTCTTGAAACTCAAGTGCAAACAGCATAGCACGGAGTGAGCTCATTTATGTATTCCAAGAAATTAACTCGTTTCATTAGGATAAGAAGCATTGCCATTCAGGAGAGTAGGCAGCAGGGATCTGATGCAGAGGAATCCCACAAATGTATTGTACATAACACATTTCATACTGCTCATGAAGAGCAATAAATGTAGGCCTCTGGCCATGTGATGCCATTTATAGAACATAATTATCTCTTACAAGGAAGCCGAATCTCTAGAGATGCAGCTCAACTATCAGGAATCTGTGTTATGGCTGCACTGGGCATTCATGTGAAACTAAGCAAGAGGCCTCCTTTGTAGATTCAGTTATTTTTTAACAGCAGAATAACTGAAGGGCTCTTTTAAACTTTGATTCTTGTCATTCAACTGGAGAAATGGTGTGCTTCAAAATTTGACCCTATACAACTAATAAGAATTTTAATTTCAAATTTGTAATTTTAAACTAATAATGTTTATAAAGATTCACCATAAAATCTCAGCAACAAAATATCATATCATATGATTTTTATTAATTAAAAGAGAACACATTTCATGTAGTTCATTCTAAGAATGTAATGCCACCCTTCATCTTTATCTCTCACCTTTTCCATCCTTCCTTCCTTCCTTATTTCCATCCTTCCTTCCTTATTTCCTTTCCTCTTTTATTCCTTTCTTCTTTCCTTTTTTAATTTTTGCAATAACATATTTTTAATTTACTTTTAGTCATGTTATTGATGCTCCATTACATAAAGAGTTCAACAGCTGAAAAGTGGAAAGACCATTGTTCAACAGAAATATAGACAAAGACGATGAACAATCAAAACCCTAGATGTCATTTCACTAATGTATATTAAGTTTTTTGATACTGTATATTTTAACTACCACAAATCAGAGAAAAGTTGTGGTTTTTTATGTCTGGCTTATTTCACTAAGCATAATGGTCTTCAGTTGTATCCATTTTGTTGTGAAAGACAGGATATCATTCTTTTTTGGCTGAGTAGTATTCCTTTGTGTATATATACCATATTTTCTTTATCTAGTCTTCCAGTTATAGACATGTGTATTGGTTCCATATCTTACCTATTGTGAATTAAAGTGCAATAAACATGGGTTTAAAGGTAACTCTTTCACATGCTGATTTGACTTCCTTTGGGTATATTCCCAGGAGTGGCATGGGTAGGTCATATGGTAGATCTATTTTTAGATTTCTGAGGAATCTCTATACTGTCTTTCATAGTGGTTGTATCAGTTTACATTCCCACAAACAGTGTATTAGGGTACCATTTCCCCCAGCATCCTTGCCAACTTTTTTTTTTAATTTTTGGATGATAGCCATTTTAACTGGTACGTAGTGATATCTCATTGTGATTTTTATTTGTATTTCCTCGATGGCTAATGGTTCTGAGTACTTTTTCATGTGTTTATTGGCCATTTGCATTTTATTCTTTGAAAAAATGCCTGTTCATATCCTTGCTCACTTTTTTTTTTTAAAAAAAAAAACCTTTTATTTAAAAAATATAAATTTCCAAAGTACAACTTTTGGATTATAGCAGCTTTTCCTCCCACAACATCCCTCCCACCCACAACCATCCTATCTCCACTCCCTCTCCCATCCCATTCTTCATCAAGATTCATTTACAATTATCTTTATATGCAGAAGATCAACTTAGTAAATACTAAGTAAAGATTTCGACAGTTTGCACCCACACAGATACACAAAGAATAAAGTACTGTTTGAGTAGTAGTTTTACAATTAATTCACGTAGTACAACACATTAAAGACAGAGATCCTACATGGGGAGTAAGTGCACAGTGACTCCCATTGTTGATTTAACAATTGATACTCTTATTTATGACCTCAGAAATCACCTGAGGCTCTTGTCATGAGTTGCCAAGACTATGGAAGCCTCTTGAGTTCACAAAGTCTGACCTTATTTAGATAAGGCCAGTATCAAAGTGGAAGTTCTCTCCTCTCTTCAGAGAAAGGTACCTTCTTGTTTGATGGCCCGTTCTTTCTGCTGGGATCTTACTCACAGAGATCTTTCATTTAGGTCTTTTTTTGCCAGAATGTCTTGGCTTTCCATGCCTGAAATACTCTCATGGGCTTTTTAGCCATATCTGATTGCCTTAAGGGCTGATTCTGAGGTCAGAGTGCTGTTTAGGGCATCTGCCATTCTATGAGTCTGCTGTGTATCCCGCTTCCCATCTTGGATTGTTCTCTCCTTTTTAATTCTATCTGTTATTATTAGCAGACACTGGTCTTGTTTATGTGATCCCTTTGACACTTATTCCTATCTTTATGATCAATTATGAACTTAAACTGATCCATTTGACTAGTAAGATGGGATTAATACATACCACCTTAATGGGATTGATTTAGAATCCCTGGCACATTTCTAGCTCTACCATTAGAGGTAAGTCCGAATGCTTTGCTTCACTTTTTAAATGGATTGTTTTGTTGTGGTTGAGTTTCATGAGCTCCTTACATATCATGGATATTAATCCTTTATCAGTGGCATAATTTGCAAATATTTTCTCCCATTCTATTAATTGTCTCTTTACTTTGCTGAGTGTTTCTTTTGCAGTGCAGAAGCTTCTTAGTTTGATGTAATCTCATTTGTCTATTTTTGTCATTATTGCCTGTGCCTCTGGGGTCTTTTCCAAGAAGTCTTTGCCTATGCCAATGCTGTTCAGAGTTTCCCTGTGATTTTCTTCTAGTAATTTGATGATATCAAGTCATAGATTTAGACCCTTGATCTGTTGTGAAGTGATTTTTGTATAAAGTGAAAGGTAGTGGTCTTGTTTCATAGCTCTGCATGTGTAGATGCAATTTTATCACACCATTTCTTGAAGAGACTGTTCTTTTCCAGGGATTGATCTTAGCTCCTTTGTCAAAGATTAGTTGGTTATAGAGACATGGATTAATTTCTGGAGATTCTACTCTGCTGCATTGGCCTACATGTCTATTTTTATGCTAGTGCCAGGATGTTTTGATTATAAGAGTTCTGCACTATGTCTTGAAATCTAGTATTGTGATGCTTCCAGCTTTGTTTTTATTGTGTAAGTTTGCTTTGGCTATTTGGGATTTCCTGTGTTTTCATAAGAATATTAGGACTTTTTTTCTAGATCTGAGGAGAATGCCCTTGGTATTTTGATTGGGATCATATTGATTATGTAAATTGCTTTAGGTGATATGGACATTTTGATATTAATTTTTCTAATCCATAAACATGGAAGGTTTTTCCATTTTTTTTTGTGTGTCTTCTATTTCTTTCCTTAATGTTTTGTAATTTTTGCTATAGAGATCTCTTACATCATTGGTTAAATTTATTTCAAGGTATTTAATTTTTTTATAGCTATTGTGAATGGGACTGATCTTAAAAAATTCTTTCTCATTCATGGAATATTTATTGTATCTAAATGCTACTGATTTTTGTGTATTGGTTTTATACCCTGTAACTTTGCTGAATCTCTAATTAATTTTAATAGTCTCTTAGTGGAGTATACTTGTTCCTTTATATAAAAGATCATATTGGGGCTAGCACTTGGCATAGCAAGTAAAGCCACCACCTATAGTGTTGGCATCCTATATAGGCACCAGTTCAAGTCCCAGCTGCCTCACTTCTGATCCAGCTCTATGTCATGGTCTGGGAAAGCAGGGAAAAAGGATCCTAGTCCTTGGGCCCCAGCACCAATGTAGGAGACCCGGAAGAAGTTTCTGGCTCCTGTCTTTGGTTCAGTGAATTTCCAGCTGTTGTAGCCATATGGGGAGTGAACCAGTGGAGGGAAGATCTCTGTCTCTGTCTCTTTTTCTCTCTGTGTGTAACTCTGACTTTTCAAATAAATAAATAAATCTTTTTAAAAAAGGACCATGTCATCTGTGTACAGGGATAGTCTGACTTCCTCCTTTCAAATTTGTATCCCTTTGATTAGTTTTTCTTGCCTAATAGTTCTAACACTTCCAGAAGTATATTGAATACTAAGATGAGAGTGGGCATCCTTGTTTTGTTGAAGGTATTATTGGAAATGCTTCACCCTTTCCCCATTCAGTGTGATGCTGGTTTGGGTTTGTCATATATTGCCCTAATTGTGTTCAGCTGTGTTCCTTCTATATCCAGATTTTAAGTTTTTTTTTTTTTTACCATAAAAGCATGTTATATTTTATCAAAAGCTTTCTGTGTTTCTATTGAGATAACCATATAGTTTTATTTTTCATTTTGTTAATGTGATGTGCCATGTTTATTGATTTGCATCTGTTGGACCATTCCTACATCTCTGAGATAAATCCTGTTTGGTCTGGGTGGATAAACTTTTTGATATGCTGTAGGATTTGATTAGTTAGTATTTTGGAGGGGGGAGGTTGCATCTATATACATCAGGGATATTGGTCTCTAGCTCTCTTTCTTTACTGTATTTTTTTTCTTCTGGTTTTGGAATTAGTGTGATGCTGGCCTCATAGAAAGAGTTTGGGAAAATTTTCTCCCTTTCAATTGCTTTGAATAGTTTAAGAAGAATTTGGATCAATTCTCCTTTAAAGGTTTGGTAGGTAGAATTCAGCAATGAAGACATCCAGCTCTGGGCTTTTCTTTTGAGGGAGGGTGGCATTTATTACCTTTTAGTCTCAGCCTTGGTTATTGTTCTATTTAAGTTTTCCATGTCTTATTGACTCAATTTAGGTAAATTGTATGTGTCCAGAATTTTATTTCTTCTAGATTTCCAATTTGTTATCATATAGCTGTTTGTAATAATTTCTGTTGATTGCTTTTATTTCTGTGTTATCCCTTTAACATCTCCTTTTTCATTTCTGATTTTATTAATTTTGATCTTCTTCCTTTTTTTGATTAGCTGGGAAAATGATGTATCAATTTCATTTACTTTTTTGAAAGAATCAACTCTTTGCTTATCTTTTGAGTGATGCTTTTGATTTCAATCATGTTTCTTTCTTCTCTAATTTTTATTTCTTTCCTCCTACTAATTTTGGGTATGATTTGTTCTTGTTTTCTAGGTTCTTGTGACACATTGTTAGATCATTTATTTGCTACCTTCCTAATTTCTCAATGTAGACACAAATTACAATAAACTTTCTTCTAGACACTGCTTTTGCTATGTCCCAAAAGTTGAGATATGTTTTGCTGTCATTTTCATTCATTTCAAGTTTTTTGATTTCTCTTTTGATTTCTTCTATGATCCTTCAATTAAAAGTTAGAGCATCTCTGGGTAAAGTACTCTGGGTGACAGGTTTTTTTTTTCTTTTAGGACTTGGACAATAACTCTCCATTCCCTTGAGCCTGTGGGGTTTCTGATGAGAAAACTTCTATCAATCTAATTGGAGAATGTTTAAAGGTAATCTGGTATTTCTCTCTTGAATATTTTAACATTTTTAATATTTTATTTTAAAAGTTTGTTTATCATCTATTGTGGTGAAGATCTTTTCTGATTATGCTTATTTGCAGTTCTATGTGTTTCCTGTATTTGGATGCCCATATCTTTCTCCAAATTGGGGAAATTTTCTGTTATTTTTTATTTCACTGAGTAAGTTTTGTAAGCCGTTCATGTTTTCCATTTCTTCAGGTATTCTTAAGACATGGTATATTTAGCCATTTAATAGTTTTCCATAAATCCCAAACACTCTTCAGTTTTTCTAATACTTTTTTTCATTTATTTTTGTTTGAGATACTTCAAAAGATTTGTTTTCTAGTTTGGATATTCATTCTTCTGCCTCACTGAGTCTGTTGTTAAGTATTTCCACATATTTTTTGTTTGACTATTGAATCTTCATTTCTAATACTTTGGTTTGATTTTTCCTTTAATATATAGATCTTCATATTTCTTTATTTCATGTAACTACTTCTCTGTGTTTTTGAGTAATCTTACATTCATTTTTAAAAATTCCTTCTCAGGTATTTTGTTAATCTTGTCATCACTGCCCAATATTAATGTATTATTGTGTACATTTTAGGGAGGCATATTGACTTTCTTATTCACGTTTCTTCTATTTCTGCATTTATTTTAATGCATCTGGGAAATCATTGTTGAAGGTTTTTTTTCCTTGGAAATGTGCCTCTGTCATTTGGCTGAATGCTAAATGATATATAGAGGTGTGTGCTGGGTGGGGAGAGGGAGCTCTGGCCAAGATTTGTGAGCGGAGCAAAAGTCCAGAGGTTTCATCCAAGTTTAGTGAGGTTGCTCTCCTCTATCATCAGTGGGAGGAGGGATATTCATGCTGGCTGGCGTGTTCTCAGCTTCAGACGCTCTCTGTGCCAAGGTGAACCAATTGAATCACTGTCTGGATTGAGTTCAGAATACCTGTTCACCCAACTTACTCAGGCATATGAATTGCACAGAGCTCTTACACACTTCCTAGTATGAGCACGGAGTCCTCCTTGAGGTCTCTTCCTTGAACTCACGGAGTCTTGAGCTTCTGGAGTTGGTTGAGGTGAGTGGCCAGAAACCCAGCCGCACTCCACAAACCTTTCAATCCCATGGTCTATGCAGAACTCACGCTGTCACAGGAGCTGAGAGTCTGTTCTCTTCCCTGTGAGCTTCCCTGTCCCCAGAGTGGGCTACCTGAGGTCAGCTGAAGCTCCACCTCAGCAAACTGAGACTGGTGCTATGGTAGGGAGAGGGATAACAATCATAATGGCCTCCCTCCTTATAGTTAAGTGGACGTCCTGTCCTCACCAGCTCTCCAGGCTGGATTCAAGGTCACTGGGGACTTGGAATTTTCCCTCAGTAAAATCCCAGTGATACACAGGCTGCCACAGCCTCCTCTCACCTTGCTCTAGGAAGATTGTGCTCATCTACCAGCTGCCAACCATGAGAGTCACTGTAGCTGCTGACTGCTATGTATTTGTACATTGTCTTTTTTGGTCAATGGAGTTTGTTCTATTCTGTAGGTTATCCATTGAGAATCTCTCTCCAACTGTCCCCTGGGAATGTGGCCCTCCCTTTGTTTTTTCTGGTATCTTCCCATAACTAAAACCTGTGTGTCTTCTCTCTATTCAGCCATCTTGAACTTCATATCATATCATTTAAATCAAATCTACTCATCGTCAAATTTTTTTTTAAATTACTCACCTATTTGACAGGAAGAGTGACAAAGGAAGTGAAAGGGAAATGCAGAGACACAGACAGATATGTAACTTCCATTTGAGGGTGTACTTCTTAATGGCTGGGACTGGTCCAGACCAAAGCCAGGAGATTAAACTCCAGCTAGGTCTCCCATGTGGGTAGCAGAGACCACGGACTTGCACTATCATCCATTGCTTTCCAAGGCACATTAAAAGGGTGCTAAGTTGGAAGCCCAGTAGCTGGGACTCAAACTGGCACTCCTGTTACATCACAACAATCAATTTTTTTATGATTCATCCTATTTATTTGAAAATCAGAGTTAAAGAGATAAAGCTGGGTTGGGGAGGAGAAAGAGAGAGAGTGAGAGAGAAAAAGAGAGAATCTTGCTTCTGTTGGTTCACTTCCCAAATGACCGCAATGTCCAGGTTGGGCCAGGCTGAAGCCAGATGCCAGAAGCTTCTCGCAGGACTCCCAGGTGGATGCAGGGGCCCAAGCACGTGGGCCACCTTATGCTGATTTCCCAGGCACATTAGCAGGGAGCTTGACTGGAAGTGGAGCAACCAGCACTCCAACCGGTGCCCCTATGGGTTGCCAGCATCACAGGCAGTGGCTTTACCTGCTAGGCCACAAAGCTGGCCCCCAAATATTTTTAATAACAGTAACAAGAAACTATAAATAATACTTTCTGTTTATTACTACCTTATAATTCAGTCTTTATGGCAGATGTTCATAGTCATATATACATTTTACTCCTTCATAAGGTTTTTCTTGAAGGTTAAATCAGATAATACTCTGTAAACCACTGTCACATAACAGCTCACTGTTTACCCAATTCTGTTCTCTCTCTTAGTAACAGCACTGTAGCTGTGTTCCTGCTCACCTGCTAAAAAATCATGTTATCTGATTCCTGGTGAAGGTAACAATGCTAGTTCATAACAAACACAGACACTTTTTCCTGAAGATGGAATTGTAGTTGTCATTGTTCTTAAATGATCACAGGAGGGGAGTGCTGCACTTTTATGTGAATGAGAAATAAAGATCTATCTTGTTAAAGCCATTGAATTTTGGAGACTCTTTTTAAATCGCAGTTCTTATCACCTTAATGTAAACATTACGGAAAGTTTCACAAACATAAACAACTGAAATATTGCCAGCTATTATTATCAATTTTATTCTAGTATTAATTATTCTCACATTCAGTCCAGAAGTTAATGTAAAATAAATGAAACTAGGAGGCTCAATGGAGGATATGGACATTTTTTCCTAGCTATTTCAGTTACTGATTTGAAATCTTATTTCTAGTAGTTATATTTTATCTGCTTTGTCAACCTAGTGATAAGGCAAAACTGAAAATAACAAAAACCCTTAAAAGTAGAATTCAGAATAAAATATATATGAGAAGGGAAGCCATTCTAGCTTTCCACAGATGGAGGATCCTATGAATTCCAATTTAAGGGAACTGGAGAAGAATGATTAGCTTGCACTTCTATGCAATCCGTGACAGGTATACATTCTGGAAAACACGGGATTTCCAGGGACTATTTCAGAAAAACATGTGAGCTGTTTTGATTGCTGCATGTATGATCGGAAACAGGATATGAAGAAGGGTTCTCTGTTACCTTTTAAAACTATGGGTTCCTCTATCTGTGTTCCTCTATGCTCATATCCTATCAGCTTTTCTCATTATTCTACCCCAAAATGACCTAAATGAAACTAGTAAGATTCAGAGAAAGGGAGAAAAATGCTTGGAACCTCCACAAAAGGACAAGTTGGGTCACGGTCTCGGAGGGCAGGGCTCTCTTTGTTTTTCCTCTTTCCTTCATGGACACCACCTTGTATGGTTCCAACAAACCCTGCATGTACAGGAAAACCTGCATCTCATTTCTGCTGAAATATGTTTTCAATTTAGGATTTGAGTTTCCAGATTGACTTGTGAACATCTAAAGAACTCAATGTCACCATGACATAATGTTCCCCAAAGGCCAGTTGCCCATCAGCAAAGAAATGGGCAGTGATTAGCTGGCTGTCAGTGGTCAAAGGTGCTGAAGTGACTGCGGAAACTGACGTGGGAAAAAGGAGAGGGAAGAAGGGGAAAGGGAGGGTGTTGTGGGGGAGGGGAAATGGCACAAGGGGATTTTGTCAGCTGAAGGGTTTTTTTAGAAGATGAAGGATGAGGACATACTGGATAAAAAAATAGAAATTTTACAAATAACTTGGAATGTATCAGAGATCACTTTCAATTTAAAAAAAATTAAAACATGAAATTCCAAACCTAGGGTGAGAAACTGCAACCGAAAGAGAAAGTTTTCTACATTTGAAGAAATTAGATTTACAAAAGTTTCATGGGCTAATTATTTTATAATTGTTTTAAAAATTACAGTTATAGCACCTAAGAGTCAATGGTGATTCTAACTACCACTACTATCTATGAGGGTCTTTTTCCATGCCAGTCACTCTGCAAGCATTTTACATTTATTCTGTGGGAGTGTTAATATCCCTGCTTTACAAAAGAAAACAATATTATTCAACAGTTTACAAATTTGTAGCTGTCCTTTTCTTGGAATGGAAAAAGCAATCACCAAAGTAGGAAGAGAAGAAAGCAAGGAGATGTCATCATGTTTACTGTTAAGAACGGAGGTGGTGGGAAAGCACTTGTTCAGTTTGTTGATCTATGTCTGTGAGTTTCCTTCTCCCCATCTCTCGCCTGCCCTGCAAGCCACTCCTTTTCTCCTCATTGGACTCTCTCTGACTGAGATCCAGCTATCCGTAGGGTAAATATCCCACTCCTTGTATAACTGAGTATCACAAGATGAGCCTCTTCAGCATGTTTACCGAGAGTTGCTTGGAGATCTGTGGTCCTTTCCAACGTTTCACTTTGGAATTTTCTGTATCATTTTCTCAGTAAAGCTTTTTGTTCACTATTTTGACTATGCTGATTCATGGGATTTTCAAAAATGGATAGATATAGTTGACACTCAAAAATTCTATGGTATAACTCAAACAGTGCTTTATACTTTGTGTTTCTGTGTGGGTGCAAGCTGTTGAAATCTTTGCTTAGTATATACTAAATTGATCTTCTGTATATGAAGATAATTGAAAATGAATCTTGATGTGAATGGTATGGGGGAGGGAGTGGGAGATGGGATGGTTGCAGGTGGGAGGGAGGTTATGGGGGAAAAAGCCACTGTAATCCAAAAGCTGTTGTTTGGAAATTTATATTTATTAAATAAAAGCTAATAAAAGGACAAAATCCTAAGAGGCCACTCTGAAAAATTAGGAAGTTTCAAACATTGCTGTGGGTACCTTCACAATTCCCATTCTGACTTTCAATACTATTCCATTTCATTGCAACTTCAATTTATTTATGAGTGAATTTGTGTCTAGGAAATTGGGCCAAATTTCAATCCAAAATCAAGTACATCTGGAGTTATATATCAAATACTGTGTGACTTCAGTTCCAACACTTCTGCTTTAATTTTCTTAGTTGTATGAGGAAAATAATGCCAACTTTTTCTAGTCCTTGTGCTGATCTTATCACTCTATTTTTGAAGTCTCTCAGTCAGAACAAATTTTTACTTTCCTTGTGTTCTGCAATACTTTTAAGTCAGTAGCATAGCACTTACCATGCTGTATGAACTAGTTGTTAATATGTATAGTACCCTGTAAGATTACCAGTTTCTTGAAAGTTAGGATTGTCTTTTTTTTAATTCCTTTGCATTATTCTAATTTATTTTGAAATTATTCTATTATCCCATACTATTAAGTGTTGGTTATGTGTTAATTTGCTTTAGTGAGTCATATTTCTTTAATTTCTAAATATATGTATTTGAAGGGGGGAGAGAGAGAGAGAGAGGGAGAGCTTCCCTCAGCTGATTCACTCTTCAAATGCCTACAATGGCCAGGGTTTGGCTGGACCAAATCCTGGGCCTGGGGACACTGTCTGGGTTTTCCACATGGGTGGCAGCTACACAGTTACCTGAGCCATCAATGCTGCCTCTCAGGACTTGAATAAGCAGGAAGCTGGAGATGAAATCCAGAGGCAGGAATCAAATCCAGGTGCTCCAGTATGGGATGTATGCATCTTTAACACATGGCTAAATGTCTACCCCTGTGTCTCTTACACTTATCACCCCTCGTAGAAGCCAATCTCTGTGTAGGTCCTTGGCTAACCTGTTTTTTTTTTTTTTAGGACTTGTAATGAATGAATTCTTTTTTTTTTTTTTTTTAATTTTTGACAGGCAGAGTGGACAGTGAGAGAGAGAGACAGAGAGACAGGTCTTCCTTTTTGCCATTGGTTCACTCTCCAGTGGCCGCCGCGGCCGGCACATCGTGTTGATGCAAAGGCAGGAGCCAGGTGCTTCTCCTGGTCTCCCATGCGGGTGCAGGGCCCAAGGACTTGGGCCATCCTCCACTGCACTTCCGGGCCACAGCAGAGAGCTGGCCTGGAAGAGGGCCAACCGGCACAGAATCCGGCGCCCCGACCGGGACTAGAACCCCGGGTGCCGGCGCCGCAAGGCGGAGGATTAGCCTACTGAGCCGCGGCGCCGGCCAAATTCTTCTTAGATATTCTAAGGTTTTCCTTATCCTTTATGGAGTGGTTTCTAATAAAAATGACCAATACCGGGTGTGATCTGCTCAGGAGACTCTACTTGTGTGTGTGTGTGTGTGTGTGTGTGAGTCTAGAGTGGTGCTACTATCAGACCATACCGCATTTTGATTGTTAACAAGAGTGATTTTGTTCCAAAAGAATTTATTAGGATGAAAGAAAAGGTGACAGAAGGTGTATCCCTTTCTCACTTATGCTCAATATTTTAGTTCAGGCTTCAGATTTTCCTTCAGTCTTTGGCAATAGAATAGTAGAAACATAATGAGCTCAATGTCCAAACAAGATAAAATTGCTTGAGTCAATTCTGAACTTGTTCAAGTTGGGATAATTACTGGTGAGAGTGATAAATATCACCCAATTCAATATTGTACTGTGGAGGATCTTAGCTGAAGTTAATTCAATTTTATGCTGCCATACCAGTTTACAAAATTTGATTAAACAGCTAATTCTCACAGTGAATCAATGAGTTCATTTTATTTACTTTGTTTGCTTAGCTTTCTAAATTTCACCACTTACATACTTGTCAAGTTTTTATTGCTAGGACTTTTTTTTTTAATGCTTTAGATTGGAAATTCTGAAAATGCAATAGGAAATAGTATTTCTCCTAAATGATTTTTCTAACCTAGACATTGTCTTCATATGTGTCCTAAATGAACTCTAAATGACTCTTAGTGACATTATGCAAATTTTTCATTAGTAAGGGACATTGGTTTACAGTTTTTAAAAAAGTATCTGTTTCCAAATTGTAGTCCTTATCTCTTCAAACCTTGAGGAAGACACACAAAGATGTAAGGTCTCACTGGTTGAATGAGTGTAAGGACATTTTTAGTCTTCAATGGCGTGACTTCTAAAGGCTCTTTCCAACTATTTTCTCTTCTTTCCTTCAACAGCTGTACTGAATTGAGAGAACGCTCTACTTCGGTTTATAAAGCCTCTCCCATTGTTTTGCCTTTGGTGCTGTTTCTGGATGACCAATTTTATAAATGTCCTTGGATAATCAGCTCCTTTCTAAGAAAGTTCTTCAGAGGTCAGAGGCTAATGGCATGTATCAAACATCAGGCTCTCTGCTTTATTGCTAGAGTGTTTGGTTAAGATCAAGATCTCAGATAAGAGTGAAGTTGCTCTGACTGGGAAAGGAAATGCCCCCAGTACTGCTCAGTAATTCCTAGAGGGAGCAGGGAGAAGGAGAGCCGAGGAGCTCATGATAGATGTTGTTTGCTTTTCTCTAAAGTCATTATTTAATCAAAGTCCCTTCAGTCACTGATGGAAGAGCCATAGTTTGAGTTGTGGGTAAAATTAAGAAAGATTCACCCTCAGACCAACACTATCAAGATTAGCAGCAAGTCAGATGACTAGAAAGGAACTGTGAAGCAAAACAAATGAGTTTCCAGTTCCCTGAGTTTAAATCCAGGCTCCCTGGGTTTGGAGGTCAAAGCTCACCACTCAAAGTGACACCTCATATTTTATTTAAGTGCTTTTCTTCTGAGGAGTTGAAAGCACCTGGCAGACATTAACTATTGTATGCAGTGAAAGAAGACACAGACATTATCCTGGGAAGAGCTACATTTGGAAATCTGAGTCCCTTATTCCTTCTAGTGTAATAATGCCAATTTCATTTTCTCATATCTTTGTTTTATACACACTTTTGTGGTGCTCTGCCACTTCAACCAGCTGCCTGCTGTATAGGACGACAGCTTATCTAGTTGGAAGGCTTTCCTCAGAAGAAAATTTAGAGTTTCCACACGGTTACCCCAGAGTCCCTATGCCTGACATTGTCTGCTCTGTTAATTGTCTTTATCTTTTCCATTTTTCTCATTTTTATAATTATTTGTTTCTCATTTTTTCACTGATCAAAGACTGTCTTAATAATGTGCAACAATCAATTTAGTAGCCAATGGGTAGAAGAACATGGAAAATCATTAAAATGTGGTGTAGAAGCAAAGGACACTGTTTATAGTGACAACTGTAGTTCAACTATTTTATTTTACTGATGAGGAAATTAAAACCCAGACATTGCCAAGTCCTTCATTACCAGAGTGGAGGGGAGGAGGAGAGCAAGGCACACTTTCACTGAGGGTGAAACTCTCCTTTGAAATTCCAGGCTCCCAGGAAGCCCTGGTCTGGGCAGTTCCCAGCCTGGGGATGGCTGCTGGTCTGCTGCATCAACTTCATCTTCAGCAACTCTGTGCCCTTAGGGCTCAAGTCCTTCCTCAGAAAAAGAACAATGCACTACATGGTGGCCATGCCCTCCAGGTCTCTCTTAGAGCCTATGATGAGCCTCTCTTTGGAATGTGAGTCACATCTGGCTCATCACACTTCAAACCTGCTTGCCACACTGGCCAAGTTTCTAAGCCACTGAGTCCTCTCCTGTCACAGGTCAAAGGGAGTTCAGAGAGCACTTGTCACTTCTGATCCCAGGGCTGCAGGTCTCCAGAGCTCTCTGGGCAGGTCATGACAGCCCTCTGTGTCT